GGGGAGTGGAGCTGAACGGCGCTGGGTTCACCCCGGAGGGTGGCACGGGGCTACTCGCTCCGCTCGCTGTAGAGCCCAACCAGCCCTTTAAGGCACCGTTGGTCTGAATCCCCCGACGCGTGGGGAAGGGCGAAATCCACGCTGCGGTGGGAAGAGTCAGGCCTTGCTGGGGGAGGGCACCATGGCCGAGGCCGTTGGGGCCCATGCCGGGAGGCGTCTGCTCTTCTGCCAGGATCAAGGCCTGCGTTGGTCGGCAGCGCCGGCCGGAGCCAGAAAGGGGCAGCAGAAAGGGTCGGGCTGTGCGCGGGGAGCAGCGCCCGCTCCCAGGTCCTCATCTGCCTCTGCCCGGTGCTCGGTCCCTCAGCAGGCAGCATCGATGCTCCGGGCCATCGCGCCTCTTGCTGTCTTTGCAGGAGCTGCGGGTTTATCTATTGCTGCCAAAATTGGGCTGACATCTGTACTGGGGTCACTTGGTGCAGCAGTCGTATCCAAGCTGTTGTAGGAGGAGGCAGCAGCAGGTGATGAACGCACGAGTAGCCAAGAAGATGAGCCTGAAGAAGAAGAACCTGCACCTGAGTGTTCTGCCTGGCAGCGCCCAAAGCCCCCGCAGACCCCCCAGTTGCTCCCCTCCCTCTTAGCAGCTGTAGACGCGCTTGAGCAATGAGTACGGGAAAGCAATAAAGGTGGTTATCAGGAGGGGTGTCGTGGTGGTTGGTGTGCGGTCGGCGCCCAGGTACCCGCCAAGCGCCTCGGGATTTGCAGTGCTCCAGGAAGAGAGCCAAACTGGCCGTTTGTTCACTCCAGCGCTCTCTGCCCCGGGAAGCTGAGGCCCTGGCGAGGCTGCAGAGGGCTTTGCTATGAACTGTCTTTAATGGCCGTGCTGCGTGGGGACGGAGGAGAGGCTGGACCCGTGTGTGGCTTGTGCCCCGCACTGTGTCCCACGCACGGGCCAGCAGGGCTCTCCCTGGCAACCAGCTGCGTTTCACTTTCTATTCTCTTTCAAATCACTCACGAAATAAAGAAATGCATTAGGTGACGGCGTCAGTCAACCCGCGGACACAGTATTTCCTGGTGGCTTCTGCAGTTCACACAGCATCGTTCTTGATGCTGTTTGCAGCTTTCCCTGTCTCCTGCAGTGAACAGCGGCTATCCCCGTGCGAACCCAGCTCCCCTCAAATGGTGGTAGGAAACTGTCGGCAGTGCAACAGTAATAATGATATATTCAGCCTCCATTAAAACAAATACTCTTCCTTGTGCCCTCAGACACTCCTATGGTGCCTCTTGGTGCTTGGGGTGCACCAAGGTGCACATAATTTTGGAAGCTCATTCTTCCGGCTGCTGGGAACATTTAACCAGCACTCGTGTAATTTTTTTGCTTGTGGTTCCCCTATCTGTTTTTCTCCGCAGCCTCTTTCATCCCAAAGGGCCGTCTCTGCCCGCTGAGGCTGCTCTGCCCGCATAGGCGCCTGCCCGGCTGTGGCTGCACCACCACGGTTCGCAATAAGTGTAAACCACCTGCACCATCGGGGCCTTAAAACCTGTGCTGAGTAAAGCCCAGTGGCTCCTAACGCAGAGGAGCGTTGGGGACCTCACTCGGGAGCGCAGGAGACTTTTACCTTTAAGCCACATCATTAAGCACTGAGTAATGAGGGTCTGCGGTGAGCGATGGCGTTTCCGTGCCTCTTGGGCGATTCTGGCCCTTCAGGGCGCTGGAGCGAAGGCGATGTTCGGTCCCGAGGACTCTCCTGCTCACTGACAGCGTGGGGCACCGCTCGGGCAGCCACCGGTTCGCCTGCGTTCCACCTGGGGGAAGACCTGCAACAAATTCTGCCCAGAGGCTTCAAAGGGCGTCAAAACTCGCTGTGAGCAGCTCGGCAGCCACCTGGGGAAGACCATGCCTTGCTGTGGAGATATTACGCTCTTATTCAAATGGTGCCTGAGAAACAACCAGCCCCGCCCGACCCTTAAAATCTGTGAGATACTGCTTTTAAACTTAGATTCCAACATTATACTGGAAATGAGGATGTACTCTTTTATTAAGGTTAAATTTTTTTAATCACTTTTCCAGAATACAGATACGATTCAAACAAAAACTATTTTGGGGGTCTCAGTAATTCACTTATTAATACCATACATTGAACTCTATAAATTCTCATATAAGAAAAAGTCTTTTGAATATAGGTTATGATGCACTGGTGACCTATTTAAATCTTTTGAAGTAACACTTTGCAGTTATATAGCACCTTTCATCACGGGGCTGCAAAGCATCCTACAGAATTTTGCCTGATAATGCCCAAACGAGGTAGGAAAGTCTGGCCAATTTACAGATGGGTACAACCGAGGTACAGATTGGCAAGGGACGAAACATGAGGCTTCACCTCTACAACAGTAGTGACGTGGCATGTACGCTGGATCCTGGGCTGTATAATGAGTCCGTGGTTTCACTGGGGAGAAAGTCAAGAGTTGTCACCCACACCCTACTCGTAAAGGAAGAAGCCTGGCTCAAATTGTTCTGGCTTTTCGTGCTATAAATAAGTTCAAAAGCCCAAGACTCGTAGACCTAAGTCCCTAGGTATGCCGTTCGTTGGGGTATCTAACAGTCAGCTGTGGACCCCAGAACTCACCAAGCCACAGCCCACGGGCTGTCGCAGTCTGCGTCCCGAGGGCTGAACTCCGGGAGGTTGGACCAGATTTGCCGTAGGTAAAGTTGTGCCCTTGGGACCCATCTGGAGCTTTGCTGTTGGATGCTTTGTTTAGCTTGACTGGTTAATTGTAACAAATTCCCTCTTTCCCCTCATGCAGGTGATAATCTAAGATAGTTCAGGTTTTGTTTCCTTAATAAAAGCCGTATCTCTGGTGAAAAACCATCAGCCTAGTGCGTGCCATGTCCAATGGAAATGTAAGTAGTGTGGCAAGAAGGATCCAAGACACCCAAGTTCCTTCAAGCCTCTACGACTCTCAAAACCGTTCTACAACCTTGCAACGCTCCCTGGACCCGAGCTAGCACTGGTACCATGGAATGAGCGCTAACGACCTCCACGGCAGCCACATCCACTGATGACAACTGAAAAATAAAAAAGCCGCTGCAGGATTTGCGATTTGCCTCGGAACAG